CAAACATCACAAAAGTAAACCGTGTTGCAATCGACACATTGATAGCAAAGATCACAAAAGTAAACCGTGTTGCAATCGACACATTGATAGCAAACATCACAAAAGTAAACCGTGTTGCAATCGACACATTGATAGCAAACATCACAAAAGTAAACCGTGTTGCAATCGACACATTGATAGCAAACATCACAAAAGTAAACCGTGTTGCAATCGACACATTGATAGCAAACATCACAAAAGTAAACCGTGTTGCAATCGACACATTGATAGCAAACATCACAAAAGTAAACCGTGTTGCAATCGATTTTATTCAAGGTTTCTGAGTTGAGACGCCCACCTGCGTTGTATCGATGGCAACAAGAAACAACGAGCTGTACACTACTGTAAACGATTTCTTGTAATGTGATTTATGTATTTTTTTAGTTTAGTTGATGGATTACTTAAAATGATCGATGAGCAAATGTAAAGAGAAAGTTCAAAAGAATTATTAACTGATGTGTATAATTGTGTATATTGAATAATAAATTATCTTGATTTGGAGCGTGTTCAGCTACACAAAATGTCTATTACGAATATTTGCATCATCTGGAATAGTGTGTTGAGGCGAAAGTAAAGTAATAAACAACGGATATGATTTTCTAAGATATGCAACTTTTCAGTGGAGTGACACTTTGTGACATGTAAGTGTGTAGAGTGACACTGTGTAATATGTATGAAATTTTCGGAGTATAAATCTTCCTAAATAACTTCCATTCGAAGGAAAATATTGCATAACCTCGAATTGAATTTATAGATTGTTTCCCTCTGTGTAGCTTGTTTTAAAGTGAGGGAAGATATAGTCATCTTCTTCCAAATAAAAATGAATCCATATAACGGTAAGGCCAGCTTCTTAGTCACTTTAAAATTTGTAAAGGTCAGCATTTTTGTAACAGAACTGTCAGATAATAATGTCGCGAAAAAAAAAAACGTTCATCACGTATAATAGTTAAACGAACCGCCTAAACGTCACGTTGGTGTAGCCTATATAATGTGCAAAGTTTAGTTTACTTTAATCCCTTATAGTGATGGCACACGACGAGATACACATTCGGCATGTAATGCTGTTTGAATACAAGAAGGGGAAACAAGAATATCAAAGAAGTTTATGGAAATGTTTTTTATGTTCGTAAGTGTCAACGATGGTTCAGCAATTTTCGTTCAGGTGACTTTAGCCTTAAAACTGTGATGGCATGGGCGACATGTTGGA